AATCATTACAGAACCCAAAACCACAGTATCTAAAACTGTATAAATGTGTAATAAAGACTTTAAATTTTTTAAATTTAAAAAATTCCATAATTTACTAACAGTTTCATAAGAATCTTTAATCTTTTTAATTTCGTCTTCTATTGTTTTTGATTTCATTAAATCGTTTTTAGCAAATATTTCAATAGAAGGTATATTTTTGTATTCAATGTTTAAAAGTTTATCTGATATTTGCGAATAAGGAAACAAAGTTTTTTTAATGAAACAATTTTTAAATTCTTCGTTGTCTACCAATTGGTTAATATGGGGATAAAAAGGTAAGAAATAGTGTAACATGCTGTCAATAATTTGATTTTGTGCCTTTTTAGATAACATACTGCTCGCTTGATCCAAAGAACAATTTAAAATTTTCAATGTGTCTACAATTTTTATGTGTTTGCCAATGCAAATAATATTAAATTTGTTTACACCTTTAGAAATAACAAACATATTTTCCATATTGCAACACTTTAAAAAAGCGATAAAAGGTTTGTCCTCAGTATTTTCTCCGTAGCTATATAAAGGAACATCTAATATTTTTTTTAAACCTTCAACAATCATAATACGATTATCAAAAGAAGCATTGTGGGCAAAGATAGGACAAGCTAATTTACTACTATAACGTGCCAAGTTTTTGTTGCAATAATCGTGCGCCAATCCGTAAACTGTGCCTGAAAAGTGATCATGATCAATAACCAAGTAATTTTCAAAACATGATAACAAACCGTAACATTCTTTTAAGACGTCATCTCTTCCTTTATCATCTTGAATTAATTCTTTTAACGTTCTTTTTTTTTCAAATTCTTTATTTAACGGTTCCAACATACAATGAAACCATAAATGAGCAGACGGATGATTTAAACGAGACATGAGATGTAAAAAAGTAATAGAATCTTTTATTCCCATTCCACGTTCATATTTCCAATGCACGTTAACTTCTTTGATACATTTTTGAAAAACTCGTATTAAAAAAAAAGAATCTTCTAGTAATTCTATAGGATCATTTTCAAACCATATGTTAATTTGTTGCTCGTTCATAACGAGTTGACTTAAACATTTCATGTGATCGACAAGATCTAACGAGTTTATTCTTACATAATCACTTAAAAACCCGTTTGTTATAAGAGTGCGGTCAAATTTTTCCCACCATCTGCAACAAATATAAAATAAACTTGATATTTGAAACAAATCATTTTTAATTTTTTCTACCTTGCTTGTTATTAAATAATTTTGAGTTGACGGTTTAAGCATAAACAATTCTAATTTGCTTACTCGTTTAAATATATGATTTACAACTTGAACACGTTTGTCGTTATAAAATCTAATTTCGTTATGATTTAATAAATTTATTTCTGGTTCTAACATTGTAGTTAATTTGTAACTGTACACATCAGATTTCTTTATTTTGTCTGCAGGACATCTGCATATTGTACACAAAGGATTTTCTTCTTGCCATACTTGACATTTTTCGTGTTCAGAAAGGTTTAAGTTTTGAAAACGAGGTAAACATTTTTCGTAGGTAAAACGAACTAAAGTGTCTGCCAAAATTAACAAATCATATACTCTCAGTTCGCTTTTATATTTTTCAACATTTTCGTCATTTGCATCCAATTTTTGCCACAAAATTTGTCTATGTGTTTTGTGTAGTAAAGAAACATTTTCTTGAAAACATGCAGGTAGTAATGTTAAAGGATTTGCTTGCAAACTTTCAATTGTATTTTCATAATAAAATATCCACTGTGTTATAACTTTATTTCTTTCATCTAAACCAAAACATTCTCTAGCTAAATTTTCAGATAAACAATGAATAACAATGCCGTGACAATAGTACGAAAGATCTGACAAAGGTTTAACGTGTTCTGTTTCTTTTAAATTTGATGTTTGAACACTTGTTTCACAGTCAAATGTAATAAAAAAAGGAAAAACGTTTCGAGAAGTGTTTATAAATTGATTTTGAGGTTCATAAAAATGTCTATTTTTTCCGTATGAAAATTTGTCTGCTACATAAAATCCTTTACATTCTTGTTTATGAATTTCACAAGTATATTTGAGACCACACTCCGAACATTGATACAGTTGATTATTATTATTATATATAACAGAAAAACGTTCATTAAGCATGCTAACAGCGTGAAAAGACTGATTTTTTTCATACAAGCATATTTTTATTGTATTTACTGTTTTTTTACGCTCGTTAGCTTCTTTTCTTTCGTCTTCGTTTAAAAATTCTCTCTGAGGATTTTGATCTTCTTTAGTTATATTTGCACTCTCGTATACCACTTTTAATAGCTCCGATAGTACACATTTATATTGCGATTTCATTTTAGGATGTAGCAAACGAACGTTTTTATTTTTTTTATTTATTGAAAATATTTTTATATTTATTCGATCAAAAGTGTTTTCGTATGCAAAAGAGTGACACAAATCAATGAGTTCTAGAAATGATAAATTTTTACTTTTTTCTTTTAAGAGACTTAATGCATGTAACCACGAATCATTTTGATCTTCAATAAGAAATTGCATTATATTTTCTTCAGAATAAAAGTCTTGTCCGTTTTTTTCCAATACTATTGTATTCCATTCTTTAATTGTATTTACTTTCCACTTTCTTATTAATAATGAAATAACAAACGCTGAATAAAAACACAAACCATTTTCAAACAAAATACTATAATCTAAAAACATTTTTCTTTTTTGATCGTATGATAATACTTTAAACGAACTACTTTTATGTTTGTTCCATTGAGTTAAAGAATGAGGTCGATACCATTCTCCATACCATTCATCTTGATTTTCTTCTTTTATATACATGCGACCTTGTTTATGAAAAATTTGTTTATGAAGAATTTTGTTTTTATTTTCAGTATAATATTTTTTCTTTCGATTACGATCACGTTCTCGCTTTTTCAATAATTCTTCTGGACTCAGTTTAGAATTTTTTTTCTTTCGTTTACGTTCATATTCTCGTCTCATCATTAATTCTTCTGGACTCAGTTCAGAAACTCTTTTGTATCCAGCAAGTTCATAATTTCTAAGTTTCATCATTGATTTTTCAGTTAAATTGCTTAATGTTTTTACTTTAAAACTAGATAAACGAATTATTCTCCATCCGCTATCATTTTCCAAAATGTTAAAAACTGAACGAATGTTATTACTTTTAATATATTGTAAATTTATTGATCCTTCTAGTGGTTTTATATAATATACAGGCGAATTGTAACATCTTTTTATAATTTTACAATAACCGTCTTCTGTAGATTTAGCGCAAAGTGTTACAATATTATAACCAATTAAAAAATTTTGAAATAAATCAGCAAATGATAACGCTTTATTTGTTTCAATAAGAAAACTATCTTGTGTTTTTTGATTAATGTGATGAGTAATTTCTTCAGGTGTTTGAATTTGATCGTTTAAATCAATTTCTTCGATAAAATCTTCATCTTTATAATTGTCATTTACAAAATATAATATTTCTCGATAATAACTTTCGTTATCTAACTTTTCTTCAATGTTCTTAACCTTAAAATGCATTTTTTTATTATTATTCTAAAAAAAATTTTTTTTATATATAACAAATAAATATATTTTTTTAACATGTTACAAATTTTTTTCATTTAAATTTTTATAAAATAAGTCAACTTCTCTATCACTTGTTATATTTTTTAATATTTTTCTCAATTCGTTTTTATTATTATGAATTATATATAGATCATTCAAATCTTTAACACGTGATAACGCAACATAGGGTAACGACATAATAAATATTTTACTGTTAAAATTTAAAACAGTTTTGTTTAACGTGCAACCTTGCGCTTTATGAACAGTTAAAGAAAATGCTAATTGTAAAGGTAAACCAACTCTAGATGCAATAATACTATGAGTACAATCTAAAATGTCTTCTCTAACGTTTTCGATTTTAAATTCTCTACCGTTTATATTAACCCAAACACCATCTGTTTCTATA